CCAATACTTGTTCCAGTGGTTCTCAGTCACTGTCATTTTTTTTCAACATCCAGCTCAGCATTTTTGAATCATTTTGATAACCAAACCAGCTGGGGTTGAAGTTGGTCCTAAAGAAAGTAATTCACAAAGAAACACCCAATGAAAGCCACCAGTTACTGCATATGATTCTGCATCATTTATTAAATACTTTCATATATGCATTTACAAACTTGACTCATTTCAGAACTCTGCTTTCAATACATTTTTTAAAACATTTTTGCAGAGAGATTCTCTAGTAAAAGGAGACCCATGTACAAAACTAGGCAACAGGTATAAAAGTTTCCTTTCATACTTTCCATCCATCCCGAAAAGAAATTATGTGACACAGAAAGAAAATCACAACGTGGCTCTTCCAGAAGAATAACATGTCAGTGTCCAACTCTGGGTTCTAAGGGGTTAGTTCCCATTTCACCTTAATTTGGCTGTATATACTTTTAATTATTTTAGCTACAAGGGCATGTTGGTTTGGATGAAGGAAAAACCGTTTGGACTAATACTCTAGAAACCATCCAGTCCTCGTTTCTCTATCCCGTGACATCCAAACTCACCCAGGAGATGACGATGATTCCCAACGCTGTGTAAAAAGTTCCCTTTAAAAACATCATTCCTCACAAGCTACAGTAGTGAGCACCTACTGTGGCCTCTGATTTAAAGAAAGAGTTTAAGTGATCAATTTAGAAGCTTAAAGTATTCTTGAAACTAAAGTTGCGTTTCTTAAAATGAACGCCGGCTGAACAGCTGATAGACATGGAGCGTTGTCAGGCACGGATGCCACTAGCTACGACAAACAGCTTCACCGTAGGATAATTACATGGTACAAAATGCCCAGGGGCCTGAAACTCACTAGTAATATAATTTTGGCAGCAGCATCATTTGATATTTAACCATTTATTACATAGTATTAACAAACACACCAGCTTCAAAGATGTGCACTCCCTGTAGGACACTGGGGAGTTACAGACTTATTGTGATTGCATAATTCATATTGCACAGTTTTATAAAAAACATAAATACTGGCTATTCTAGTTTTAAATACAAAATACATGTCATATGCTTTTAAATCTATAATCTGGTTCAAGTGCAAATCAGGTGCTTTCTTTAGTCCTTCCAAAAAAGGCATTTTTAATATTTTTGGCACAAATGAAATGTCATCATGCCGTTCAACAAATCTAATTACAATACATATATCCAAACCTTTAGAGTAGCAATCATATACATACAGTATAAAACTGAGTTATTTACAAATATACTAAGCATAAATGTCACCTTCGTGGGTGAATCAGAACTAATTAGCCATACCCACGCTAATAATAATTAAAAAAGGTCAATACAGTTCCTCTCTCATTTGCTTATGCTGGTTGCTGTGGGTTGACATTCATGTGAGGCGGATGTCCTAGAAGACCAATTCTTTGTTTCTGCTTCCTTTGTTCTGTCATCTGGAAAGTTAAAAAGTTTCATCATTAGACCCAGACACTTCCTGTACGTCAAATCATATTCTGAACCATAGATTCACCTCTGTGGTTACGGTTTGTACTGAAACCCACTTTCTACAAATAGTGTACTGTCACCGTATCAAACACAGCTTCAAAAAGGGAATCTTCCGAGGCAGAATGGGGAATTCTATGACCTCGTCATGCAATGGTAACAGTCACAGGTACAGCTTGCTCCTTGTTTCACAAGGAAACAAAAAAACGGGAAAAGCATAGGATTCTTGATTGTTTCCCGAACCCATTTCCAAATGACTGAAGGACTCATTGGAAAATGGTGGCTCTGTACGACAGTGACAACACGCCATACGACCCAGAAAAGCAGCAAGGTCAGAATCCCAGGGTTGAGAGAGAATAAGTCCACGCTCTTAGCTGGGTTCCTCTCCCCACTGATGCTTGTTGAGGTTGGTTAGAAGGGGGAAAAAAAAAAAAAAAGTGACAGAGTCATCTGGGAAGATGAGTAATGTCCTCACAGCTCCCTGAGATCCAGAATAACCAAATACTGCCCAGAAGGCCCTGGCCACCAACAGCTGCTGAGTGTAACTGAAGGCCAGGAGAGACCACTTCCTAAGCCAAGCTCCAATGAAAAAGGGGCTTGCGCAACCCAGAGCAAAAAGGGAGGGTTTCCATTCTGAAGTGCTCCTGAGGATGGGGCGCAGTCTCGGGAATAGGTAGGGTCTACTTAATCTTCTGCATTCTGATCTTTTCCCTTGACCCAGTTGGTGCTGGCTCTAGGAGGGCTGGGGATGTGGCTCAAGCGGTAGCACGCTCACCTGGCATGCACATGGCACTGGGTTCGATCCTCAGCACCACAAACAAATAAAGATGTTGTGTCCGCCGAAAACTAAAAAATATTTTAAAAAATTCTGTCTTAAAAAAAAAAGGCTCTAGAAAATACATATTAAATTGTTGTATGCAAGTGGCTTAAGGTCCTACTCCAACCTTTCTGGTTTCCTAAAACTGGACACAGGAGTGAGGGCGGAGGAGTAAAAAGAGCGTAGAGGCTTTGGAACGAGAACTGTTTTTTTTTTTTTTTTCACATTTCCAGGTCATTTCTATCTATCTCAGAGGAGGATGGAGGCAGATAACCTAGGATAAGTCAGGTGTGTGGTGCCCACCTGTAATCTCAGCTACTTGGAAGGCAGGAAGATGGCAAGTTGGAGGCCAGCCACAAAATCTGAGTGAGGCCATAAGCAACTTAGTGAGACCCTGTCTCAAAAATAAGTCGGTCTTTGTCATTTTTCCAGTATTAGGGGTTGAACCCAGGTGTGCCTTGCCACTGAGCTACATCTCTAGCCCTTTTTGTTTTATTTGGAGACAGGGTCTTGGTAAGTTGCTGCAAATGGCCTGGAATTTGGGATCCTCCTGCCTCAGCTTCCCAAGTCACTGGAATTACAGGCATGGCCACCATGCCTGGCTTAAATCTTAGTTTTTACTTGAACTGATTTTTGGTACAAAATATCCTGAAAGAACAGAACTTACCTAGCTTCAGTGTGAAATGGTTATTTTTTTTTCCTTTTTTAGAACATCAGTTATCCTCTCAAGTAATTATTTTTAGGCTCCTGTGGAAATGCTTTCTCTCCTGGTAAATCTTCTTGTCTAAATTATAATAGACTTTTCCAAAAGGAAGCTTTCAATAGAAGCTTTCTGTAGGGTACTGAATGAGGATGTTTCAGATGCCTCTAAAGTTTCCTTGGGTGAGTGACAACTCTTGAAGAGAAGTGTCACCCACTATACTACATTCACTGGTTCTGTTAGGTTAAGGACAGCTTTGCGTGCACAAGGAATACATTCCCCATTGAATTCAAACACCAGCCATTCAATCCTTTCACTGCCTGATCCCTCAGACATTTAGCTTGGAGTCCCTCTACGCCAACTATGCCCTAGACAGGTAATCCTGAGAGGGAATCCAATAACCCTTAACTGGATAATCCCAAGCATTCAGATGGATTTAGTAAGCCTGACCGGCTCATCCCCTACAAAAAATACTTTTCTGAAATTTCTATTTAAAGCTGCTGAGCTCTTTTAATTCAAAGCTGGGTATTAAAACTTTTTCTGTCATTTTTCTTTCCATAATTATTGGTACTAGAGATAACCTTTCTTTTATGTATACATATTTACCTCCCGGTTGTTAAATCGGTGCTCCTTGACTCCTCAATTACTTGGTCATTCTTTCTCTTAAATTTACAACCTCTAAAACACTATGGCCTCCAGCAAGGGAGTCTTAAGTTGCCAGCCTGAGGTCCTGCTCAAGCTTTCTAGGTTTGCCCAAGTCATCACATCTGCCAACCCCTAATGCTCCCCACTGAGAGAGGTTAGTGGCCAATTCTTAGGTAATTCTAACGGATCATTTCAAATACCAAGTACATATCTATCCAAGATTGTTGTGTTGCCCTAAAAAAGAAAATTGTGGCTCATACTGAAGTTCAAGAGCAATCCCAGAGGCTTTGTTAGAAAACAGATCAAAGGGCGTGCAGAGACGGATGTAGTAGGTCCAAGGTGGGGCCCATGAATTTGCATTTCTAACAAGTTCCCAAGGGACAAAGACGCCACGGGCCTGGAATATGTTGTGAGAACCATTGTTCTAGAACAGCTTTTCATTAATAATTTTCAAAATCGGCTACAATCACTTTGGGTACATTTTCCTATACTTGAACAAGTTGAAAGAGCCCGGTATTTGGGGGTACATAATCTTTTTCTCATCTAAAAGGTGGCATGGGAGAAAATTCTTGATAGCTAGTGTATATAGCAAGCACACACAATGTCTAATCCTGTTTTGATCAATCTCATTGGCTTTTTAGGTAAGATGGCATTTAAGTCAATGCTATTGTCACTTAAGTGATAGAAGAGAAGGAAGTGGGCATTGCTAAAGCGTTTGGTCTTCTTGTCAGTGGTTATCATCCAATAACAATTAGAGGTCAGGTTTAGTCTTACAACCCTTCTAAGGAACCGGGCCAACACTGCTGACCATCCAGGTTTGCCCAGCCCAGTCCTGCACGGCTCACATAGCTTCTGGCTCTGTTGTTTTCTCAATTCTGCCTATTCACACACATGCTCTATGTATCTATAGATCTTACTATAACAGCATTCTGATCTGTTACCTATATCAGAGCAAATAGTTGATCCTCTGCCTAACGTCACAGGGTTCTCTCTCTGGACATCTGAAACAAAGCTATCCATTAACATTCACATCTAAAGTAACCACAGTTGAGATTTTAACATCAAAACATATTTAGAAAAGTCCCACTTATAATACAGGTACACTCCTCAGAGTTCCCACGTAGTTGAGAATGCGCAGTGGAAGCAATGCTGACCTTGGTATTTATAGAAATATATAAACTAGTTTGGAATGAAAAGGAGGAATAAAGAATTCTAGTCTAAACCAGAAGCAAAGAATACTGTAGCTGTACAAGTCAGATGCAGCCACACATAGGCCGAGGGCACAAATGAGCACAGCCTCTGGGTAGCAAAGGCTGGCACAGGAGGAAGGTTCGCCCATGACACTAAAACACCAGTCTGGTTTATAACTTTTTTTTTTGTACTGGGGATTGAGCCAGGGTGCTTAACCACTGAGCCACATCCCCAGTCCTTTTATTTTTATATATATATATATATATAAATAAAAATTTTTAGAGACAGGGTCTTTGGGGGTTGTGTAAGGCCTCACTAAGTTGCTTAAACTGGCTTTGAACTTTTGATCATCCTGCCTCAGCCTCCTGAGTTGCTGGGATTACAGGTGTGCACCACCATGCCTGGCTCTATAACAGATCTTAATAGTGTTTGAAGAACTGCTTTCAAGTTACAATAGGGTCCTTATTTCAATCATTCTAAACAGGAGATATTATCAGAGTTGCTTTTTACAGTCCTGAAAAATTATGCTCCGAAATGATGCGCCTGAAAAACTGAGACATTGAACTGAAGCGTTTCTTGAATACAAATATCTATTCAATAGAACTGTGTGGATGATGGCGTTCAGAATCTGGGAGTGGCTGCCTAGCACAGACTGCTCCTCTCCCTACCCTGGGCTAGGTTTCTGCGGTCTCGACCCCAGTCCTCTCCCTAGGCTCAGTCGTAGGCATCTCCCTGTTGCCTTATTCCCAGAGCGATCTGTGCAGACCTCTGGTGTACATTGCTTAGGTTTAAGCATAATTCATGCTGAACTTCCTTATCTCCCAATTTAGACTGTTGGTTCTGGAAGGCAGAGGCTAGACCTCTCATCTTTGTGTCCCTGTACCAACTGCTGCACCTGACCACTCTGTGGTTTTCAATGTTGGTTGAGGCGGCGATGTGGATTAACCAGAACATTCTGCCATTCCTGAGCGTGCCATGCATTGTCATGCTTTTGCTCATGCCAGTTCCCTTCCTGAGAAGCCCCTTACTGTGTTTCTCTGCCAGCTCAGAAGCCACCTGCTTAAGGCTGTGGAAGCTGAACTCTTCCCTTTCAGCCTCACTGTGGATCCGGGACCTGCTTCTCAGCTCCTCACACCACACCATAACTCTGAGAAATCTACTTCTCCATCTCGCTTGCTAATTATGGGACCCGAGAGGGCAGACGTTGTTTTAGTCCTCTTTTATGATCCCAGCATAATATAAGGAACATGAATGCATTCAGTAAGTTCTGTTCAATCCTCCATTCCACAACTTGGGACCATATTCTAATCTTTTTTTAAAAAATTATTATTCCTTAAGCAGTTAATGTTGGTAAGATAACCTTTTTGCATGAAAAATGCCAAATGCTGTAACATGCTAACATGATCCAGATTTCCAAGCACTTCTTATATTCCTAGCAACGATGGGTGAGTGTCCTACGGGAAGCCAGACGCATTTTCTAGAAAGTTAACCCTTTGCTCAATATAGGCTCTTTTGCATTATGAAGGAAACATGCAAAAAAGAAATATTAAGGTCTTACATTAGTTCTCCTCCTTGGAATAAGGATGTAAGAGAATCACATTTAGTATTCAGAATCTCTTGGGAGGGGAAACTTGAAGATGAGATGCATGATTAATACTTACTTAGCATAACAATCCTAACCAACCATTCTTGGCATAACAGAAAAAGGACCAACCACCTGTGGACTAATAACATTCTATAGGAGCAGTTCCTCCCCAAGTTGGTCATTTAAGACAACCACCACCAAAGAGGTCAGGGACAGTAAGGATTAAAACCAGAGCCAGCCACATTGAAACCACCCTTGTCCCATTACGCTGGTTTTGGGCTCAGAAGATCTACAAAATATCTAAGTGATGAAGCAGCTTCTGTTTTCCCACATTTTTCTCAGTGAATGGTGTTCTTTCATGGTTGTTTTAGAAAATATCTATTACAGAGTTTCTTGTTCGTTAATCATTCCTGGGGCTTAATTCAAAAATTTTCCCTTTTGAGGGCAAGAATTCTCACAATTATTTCAGATCCAGGAGCTCTCCAACATATATCTGTGCGATTCTTTTTAAATGCAAAACGGTTTAAGAAATTTTGTTATAACAAACATTAAAATTCAAATCTACTCAACATGCAAATGCACTAAAGGTTTGTTAGAAATCATAGAATTGAAAGAAAACACTGACTGGTTCATTTTGAAGGAAGCAAGTGCCCTCCCTGCAGAAGCTATGCTGAATTTTTCTGCAATTCTGGGCACCTTAGAACTTAAGCAGAGCAATCCTGTGAAAAGTGCTGAAGAATGTGTTACTGATTCTTCATGTTTCTTTGTAGCTTTTGCTATCTTCTAAGAAAAAAAATAGTTCAATCTCAAAATCTTTCTCAGGGAGGGGCGTGCTTTCAACTTTAAAACCAAAAATTGAAAAAGCCCTGGGATTAAGCAGTATAAAACCATTCTAGTTCTAACATCTATATTTAGTCAAATCTTAAGTTTAATAGGAATGATTCTACATTGTATTTAAAAAATGCAACCCCCATTCCACCAATGGGCAGGATGCAACTTGTGAAACGTTAGGCCTCTTTTTTAAAAAAATTAGAATTTAAACAGTGAACAAGAAAATGGAGTACAGCAACAAAACAAAGCAAATCAAAACAAACACATACACAACACAAAAACAAGCCCACGCTGGGGGGGTCAGGAGCTCCCACCCTGGCCCTGTCCCCTAAAGTTGCACAAGTTTCCTAAGAGCCTCCTGTGTTCCTGGGGTGAAATGACTTGGCTCAACTCTTGCACCACGCTCACTGGTGTGCAAAGCAGGCACAGAAGCGTCTGCCGAGTCGTCCTCGGTGCAGCAGCTTCTCAGCACCCAAAGGACTGGGAGAGGCTGGAGGGAAGGGCTTGCTTGGTTTTACCACAGCAAACCCCAAAATATAGCAGTTTTGTATGACAAATTTTAAGAGACTCTCTAGTAAACTGGAAATATCCAGTTCCTCATATTAAGATATGAGCCCTTGAAGAGCATCCAGGTGTGACAATGAGCATTAGTCACGAATGAGCAAGAACAAACTTGGGCTGCCGTGGGACTTAGGAGCCAGGATATCCCTATAGCTGTAGTTCTGGTGCCACGCACACCTAGCACACATGATGCGTGTCACCAGACTTTCTGGTGAGCCAGTTCCTTCATTTGTCTGTCCTAGATCAGTGTAAGCTTCTTTGGGAACCTAATTTAAAACATCTGATTAAATTGAATATCTCCAGAGGGAAAGGATGAGAACTCCAGCTTGGGAGGGTCTTTAAGAAATTGCCCTGCGGACGGGCAAGGACACAGCACCACAAGTCAGTTCAGTCTTGCCAAGATCTGTCAAATGTTGCACAGCAGGGCAAACAGTTAAGAAGCAAAGTAATCTAGTTAGATCTTGATTAGTCTTCAGGTATTATTCATTTTAGGATGCCACCAAGCTCAGGGCTGTAGGCAGCCTTCATCAATAAGGTCTGCTTTCTTCATTCGTCTTTTTAAAATTTATGTCTGAATACATATGGAAAAAAATCAGACCTGAGGCCAGCTGGCATTGGGGGGCGCTTAGTTGGGAATAATTTAGTTTCAAAAGGAATGGAACTTAGTGCATAGAGCCTAATTAATAATCCTGCTTTATCTTGAAGAGTTGGTGGTAGATGAAGCCTTCGCCAGTTATGTACCCAATCACCTGGGGGGTGCACCCTGCAACTTACCTCCGGGGCCAAGTTGCCTGGACCAAATTCATCTAGTCTACAGAGAAAGCTTTCAGAAACTTAAAATGCTGAACTGTACCTGTCTGTACATGACTATCCCTGTCAGCTACAGAAATGCAAGATCAGTCTGCTAAGGAGCAGGGCACAGGCCATCCTATAACTAGGTAATCACCTGGTGACAGAGTGTTCAATTTAAGGGGTTACACAGGGTTTGGTTTAAATCTGCTCCCCTTACCTTAAAAGGTAAAGCATTTATCATAGGTGCAGGAAGGGCAGTACTTCTGTGGACTCCCACCCTCTGGGAGACCTGAGATTATGTCTCTGTCACTTTCTATCACATCCCCAGCACCTGGCAGCCACTTCATAAGCATTTGGCAAACGAATGAACCAAAACAGGCTTTTCCATGACTATAGTTTATCCCAGGATGCCGAATTTACATCTCTTGGATGAAGATTTGAGAAATCTGAGGGCTAAGTAGCCAAACAAGAAAGAGCTTTTCATTCTGTCTCCGCAAAGAGAATGTTTTTTTTTGGTCCAGTACCTGGGTAAAGTAGTTTGCATTTTGACTTTTAATATGAAAAAAAAAAAAAAAAAAACCATGTCCTTAGCAGCACTGAAAGCAGTGGCCACTCCTACTGGCCTTATCTTGTGATGGTGCCGGGTCTGTCCTCTCCTGCCCAGTCCCCCACTTTCAGGCTAAGTACTTCAACATGGTAACATGACGACTGCAGAACTGTCCCCTCCAGTCCCATTTCAGGGGCATGTGTGTGTTGGGAAGTCGGGGGTTTCCCTCCTTTACCTGGTCCTTTAATTCTGACAGCTGTCCAGAAAGATTAGTGACAAGCTTCATGGTGGATTCCAGCTTCTCCTGCAGGTTCCTCAGCTCGTTCTGTTCTCCTTCGGAATCGCTGCTGACCAAGGACATGGCTCTCATCCTGGGGAACCAGTCAAGGTTTCTTTCCTAGAATCCACATGAAGGAAAAAGAAAGAGTGGGAGTTAGTAGAGGGGCAAAAAGGCCGCCATACCATGCCGTTTGGACTATACGGGGCGTCTCTATGTGATCTGTCCCTTGTGAAACAAATGTGCTATTATACTTTTTAACTATTCAGTAATGATCTTTTAAAGGGAACATAATGGACCTCTTAATTCCTAGAAAAGGAAGTTGTTTTAACATTTAACTCAGGGGAAAAGAAGGTTTCCAAATTAGAGTCCTGATCTGCAACTCTGAATACTGCTGCGGGGGCTCTGGTCTTTTCACAGGATATGGCTGGTGATGAGTTCTGTTTTAAATTGTGGTAAAATGTGCACAGCAGACTTGAGCCATTTTTGAAGTGTACAGCGCAGTGGTATGAAGTACATTCACACTGCTGTGCAAGTATCACCACAGCATTTTTCTTTCTTTTTTTGTGGTACCAGGGATTGAACCAGGAGTGCTCTACCACTGAGCTATAATCCAGTCCTTTTTATTTTGAAGCAGGGTGTTGCTAAATTGGTGAGGCTGGCCTCTACCTTGCCATCCTCCTGCTTCAGCCTCTGGAATTGCTGGGGTTACAGATATGCACCACCGTACCTGGAAACCAGAACATTTTTCAATCTTCCCAACTGAAATCCCAAACCACTGATGGCAGCCTCCATTTTATTTTCTGAATCTGAACTTGCCTACTCTAGGTAGCTCATAGTATGCTGCATATTCTTAAACTTTTTAAATTTTATTTTATTATGTGGTACTGAGGATTGAACCCAGGGTCTCACACATGCTAGGCAAGCATGAGCTGAGCTATACCCTCAACCCCCTATGCTGCATATTTTAAAAAAGTATTATATGGGCACAACTGTTTGCATACATTGTGGAAGTGAAACGGATTTTAACAGCCCACGGGTTCGGGCATTTCAACAGATAAGTGCAATATAATGTGCCTGGTAACTCCCCAATCATTTTCCCAGTTTCAGAGCTTATGGATACCACCCTACTGGTTTCCTGTTCTTCCCATGCTGAAAAGCTTAATGGGAGCTGTCCACTGTAGGAGGCCTCCTTCCCCGAGGGCACAGTGTTTCTCACTGCTGGTGAGAAACACTTCCTCCCCACCACATACGCCTTCTCCTCCACAGCTTTCTTCATACCTAGGCTCTATACAGAGAGGCAGGTATGAGCACAAGAGCAGCTCGAGCCAGAGGAAGAAAGCTGACTCATTCCAGATGTATCTGGTGTCCTCCTCACCTGGCCCATTTTGGTCTTGGCAGGCTGAGTTTAATAGACTTTCCAGAAGTAATCATGCTTCTACCTCCCCAAACACGCACAATGAGCATGCTATCTCTGCTTTGTGTACACCAGGGGTCAGGAACATTTTTTTTTTTTAATATAATGAGAATGTTGACAGTCCATGTTCCTGGCTTTGTGGACCACATGGTCTCTGAGGACTACAATACAGAGTAGTTGTAACAAACAACCACAGACCATATATATAAGTGGATGGTGTGGCTGTGTTCCCATAAAACTTTATTTTCAAATATTGACGATGGCAGGCTGGGTTTGGTCTGCTGGTCAGAGTTTCCAACCTCTGTTATACACAGAAGGCTTCAACTGGGTGTGGTGGTACATGTCTATGATCTCAGCAACTAGGGAGGCTGAGGCAGGAGGCGCTCAAGGTCAGCCTGTTCAACTTAGCAAGACCCAGTCTCAAAATAAAAAATAGAAAGGACTGGAGATGTGGCTCAGAGGTGAAACATTTCTGGGTTAAATCCCCAGTAGCCCCCCGCCCAAAGAAAAGTAAAATCCATGAGGCATATCTAAATATTATGATTCAAGTGAAATGGTTAAACTGTGTCGTGACCTAAGGCAACCTCACAGGGTAGAAACCATATAAGAACTAGTTGGAAAATGTCACAACAGGCACAGCACACTGGTCACACGGCAGCACATCTACTTTAGAGTGTTTGCTCAAGACATCAGGAGAGTCTCGCAGGCAGGAACTCACTAGCCCGCCTGCATCATGAGGGCCAGGGCCACCTTTGGGAAAACACAGCAGACACTCTGCCCTGGTTTGTGGGAGGATGGAGCGACACTGTGTCCTGTGTGCACCCTTGATAAGACATGTGAAAACAGCACGTCGGAATCGCCTGCAATGACTGCAGGAGAGGAAAGAGATGATCTCTGCCTTCCCAGACTTTGACATAAGCACTTCATTCACAAGTGTCTTCACGTACCCCTCTGTTCATTTCCCACCACAGAGTAACAGACAAAAGATCATTTCACAAAATAACAGTTTTTAAGCTACCATGTTAGAAACATAAGTGTTTCTCCACTGGTAGTCAGTTTTCCATGGTGTGGCCATCACTAATTAGATTCACTGCCCCAGTGTCCACCCTTCAGACCTGATACCCCCATTTTCCCACCAAGGAAACAGCCCACATTCAATATTGGCGCAACTTGGAGGAATGGAGCTACCTTCTCAGAAGAGCTCCCTCCCCCTCCTGGGCCAGCTGTGGAGTGGGGATGGGGAGCACCCACCTGAAGAAGCCAGGAGCCCAACCCAGGCATAAGAGGTCCTGGACACCACAGTGACTGCTACTAATCCCAGAGGAGTAGACAAAAGTCTCACTTGCTTTGTCAAAGGCGGGAGCCCATAGTTAGCCCATCAACTGGGATGTGACAAAACGTACTGCCAGGAGGGAACTTAAGAGATCACCAGTCCCACCACTGTAAGTAAAGATGCGGAAATCCGAGGCTCTGAAAGGGAGAGTAGTTTGTCAGGGGCTGGGGAGGGTAGGGGTAGGCGGCAGCAAGAAACCAATCGCTATTTTTCAAAGCAGATCCTAAAAATTATCTAGTGCTTAGAAATCATAGACTGCTCCAACTGAGTATTTTTTTTTGGGGGGGGGGGCGGATATTTGATAGTTATATGAATTTGAATAAGAAGTGTAAACACTGGAAAGTATTTAAAAAAAAAATACTTGTGGCAAACTCAACAAGCACTTCAGGAACCCTCAGTGCTCTGCTTCATGATGAGGATACAGCAGAGAGCAGTAGGAAGCCAGTCTGGCACCCTGGACCCTCTAGAAAGGAACAGACAGAGCAGACAAGAAGGCAGCCTCAACACATCGGAGAGGGCAGGAAGAGGTCCAGTCACTCTGCCTGACACGTGTGGCTGCCATTTCAGGGAACAGCCAGGACTTTAGCTGACTGAGCACTGAGGTGCAAGTGAATCCGACATCTCCTGGGTGCATTTGCTTAGCAAACCCTCCAGAAAAATAGAAAGTGAAGATTTCCAGAGTCCACATGAATGACATCTTCAAAAGTCTCTGGAAGATCCGTGCACAAGTCTGCATACAGAGAAAGCTCAGGGAGCCACGTCTCCTTATTCTAATGACAAATGATCAGACAACGACAGATGAAAATGAGAATTGTTCTGTGGCAGATTCCCACCTGCTTTCACAGTGTATGTGGTTCCCTGACCCCAGGAAGAACTTTAGAAAGGTGTTTAAACAAATTGGTGCAAAGTGCACAGACTTCCTCCATTTAAGAGCTGTTTAGGGAACTTGCACAATTTCTGTGCCCAGCCCAGGCCTGAGAGCATGAGGAAGTACAGATGGGAAAGACGGGGTCTCTGCCCTGAAAATGTCAGCTCCCTAGCTGAACCACCTAGCTGGCACCAAGGCCTGAGTGCCTACAGGTGTTCTGGGGGGGGAGGTGGGGACCCTGACACGAGGATGACTGCCACTCACCTCATTGTTGAAGCAGAGGCTCTCAGATCCTGTGATTTAATTTTTTTTTTTTTAACTTGATTTGTGCTTTTGTCAGTAGGACACCTATAATCCTGGGGCAGGAAGGCACTGCCCAAGAAGACATATAAGCACACGCAGAAAAAAACATCTTTCTAGAGTGTCCATTTTAGTTGATGGCAGATGATTGAACATGTTTTTATATTTAATTCAAAAAATGCCGTGCAACTGACTCCAACTTCAAAATCTACCCCTTCACAGGGAGGCTGTGCTTGCTGGGGACCACGTATGAGGGATAACCCTCTCTCCTCCATTTCCCAGCGTACCTTCAATGCAAAGATAGGAAAGGAGTTTCCTGGTCTAGTTATTTACCAGCCCCCTGCTACAGGCTCCTCTCCAAAGCCTCCTTATGAAAAGCTGGGGTGGGTGGGACCCCTCCAATATCCCAGTCTGCACAAAACAAACTGCAGGGAATGGTACGCCCTGGACAGCACACACAGAAGTGGGTAGATCCCGGGTGTTGCCACTATTTTTTATATATATATCTTTTTAGTTGTAGTTGGACACAATACCTTTATTTTATTTTTGTGTGGTGCTGAGGATCGAACTCAGGGCTTCCCAAGTGCTAGGCAAGAGCTCTACCTCTGAGCCACAACCCTAGCATTTTAATTAAACATCCTGGGCTGTTGAGTCAAATCTCCAATTATCAAACAGTAGCCAGTAGTTAAATTAGCGATTCTAGCCAAGCTGTCCTCTCCCTTTCCAGCTGGTTTTGCCTCCTGCTCAGGAAGAGAAACTCCACTGACCTGACCCACCTGAGCACAGGGAATCCCAATCCCACATGAAAACGTTTAGACTCTCCCAGTGCCTCGCACAGGAGCAGAGACAACGACCGAATCCAGGGACCTTCTCTTTAGCTAAGACTTTCAACATGGTGAGCTTGTGTGCTCCATCATTCCAGGGAGGCCTGTCACCCACAGCTCTCCAGCTAGCCGGTGTCCCAAGGTCCAGCATGTTTGCACAATCCCATGTCTCACTGTTCTGGCTTCTACTGCCTTTTTGGAAAGTGCTGTTCAACAAACTCTGTTTACACAGGGATTCACCTTGGGGCCAGTGCGTGTGGCTGCAGGGCTGGGAAAGGGTCTGTGGGTGGCATGCGTCTCTGCTCCCCTCCCTCTCCTCGCTGCTGGCATCTCACATGCCAGTGTGATGCAGCCTTGTCTGCACGGACCTCCTGGTCC